TTTTTTTTTTTTTTTTTTTTTTTTTTTTTTTTACAGAGATGCGAGCGAGAGGAGAGAAGGAACAGAGAAGGAAGAGAGAAGGAAGAGGCGGCCTGCGCGATCTTTTTCAGATTTTTTTTTTTTTTTAATATCTTTGGTATGTAAATAATAAGTAAGGGTAGAATTGTACTTTTAAGTGCTAAAATGACTAGATTTTATTGTTTTACAAAAAGTGGCTATATTTCATTTTTCACTTCAAAAAATGGCTAAAAAACCGCCCGACTGAATCCCTAATCTTAAAAGTTTCATAAATAATAAAAAAGGTCCAATACTAATAAAAATAATAAAAAGAGCCCAACAATAAATAAAGACAACTAAAGAGAAATAAACTAACTAAATACGAAGACGGTCATATTTATTTAAGAATGCTATCGCGGTCTCGTCTCCATCAAATAGCTTTTTGTATTGTTTATTTTTATTAATTGTTATCTTTTTTCACAATATAAAAATCATTACATAACTTGTAATTTCAATATTATATACATGCCCAAAAATAAAATATTAACAATACATATGCAATGACCGATCTAAATTGACCAGCAGTGATAGTTACAAGAAAGATACAATTTAGCATTGTCACCTAGTACCAACGGAGATTGACACAAGTGGTAAGCAGCTTGATGCTGTTTAAGCAAGGTCTTGAGTTCGAATCTTTATGGATGCTGAAAATTCTTGTTGGGAGACTTACCCACCACTGCCATGTGTGCGACTCGGGTCGACCAACGAATTAGTCAGGACATAACTCTGGATACAGTGGTTGGCTAAAAAAAAAAAAAAAAATTGTCACCTAGTAATTAGTCAAGATCTTTGACATATTAACTTCAAAATGTATGTGATGATTGAGAAATTACTAGGCACATTTCATACTACTTCAATATTAAATTATGCCAATGTTTGTTTTACGATTCCCATTTTGGGGCATACAAAATTTCTGCACGAAACAAATCTTAATTGGTTACATAAATCAACCGTCAATTTTTAAGGTAAATTGAAACAAATAAAAAAAAAATCAACCGTTAATTTTACAGTGTGACATTTTGTCGACAGAGAAAAGGGATATGAGAATATAATAATTGATCACATGACCCCACATGAATAAGGACAAAATTCAGTGTAATCTTTTGCACAAATTATAGTGCAACTAATTAAGGAACATAAAACAATTGAACATCGTAATCTTACTTGATGATTTCTCGTTGAATAAATATGTTATTATTCTTCTTTTTTCATAATTCTTTTATTTATTTATTTATTTTATTGAATAATCATCACAATTGGACGTGTTATTCATATTGACTAATCATTAGTTAATTACTAATGATGCGATCCTAATTGGCCAATTAATCATAAATTA